AAGACGGTCGAGTGTGTGAAGAGGTGGTTCGGCGACATCAACTTCGCGGGCATGTCCTCGCCTACTAGGAAATTCGCGACTTACCAGTCTGGCATCTGGGATATGAACCTGACGCCACAGTTTATCGAATACGCCCGCCTCGTCGCTATCGAAGACCATGGTCTCCGCGGATGGCCCGCCATCATCGACGAACCCCACCAGCGGGTGTGGCTCATCGTCGGCATAATAGGTCAGATCATGGAGAAGAAGATATTCAACGAGCTCCTATTCGGAGCGGACGAAACTACCGAAGATGAGCTAGGAAGATTAGACCGTAGATATATCAACAAAGAAGGTAAAGTACCAGAGCATTCAGACCTGTCGTCACCTGGAGAATCAACATGCTAACATGTCGCAACGCAGGCTATGACCGCAAGGCTGTTCGTTCCGTCCTCGCGAGATACGGCGTCGAAGGACGCCTTCTACCTAACGACTTCTACCCCAAGATCGACGACCTAGCAGCCAGGACCGTGGACATCTTCCTGCCGTTGCTCAACGTGTTCAAGCTCTTCCGAAGTCAAGATATGAAGCTGGAGTATTTCCTGCAAGAAATCCACTATCTACTGTCGTACGCAGGGATGATACAGATCTGCATGTCCGTCTCGCCGTCTATCTTCCACTTCCTGTCTGCTACGCCCGGTGCCCGGATGGACTATCCGCTCGAAGAGCAGGCCGATATGGATCTATACCACGACTCCCAGCGCCATTACCGGGAAGAGGACAAGAAGTGGAATGAGGCGGTCAACGGCGCTAGACCAGGCAGCACGATCATGGTCGGTAACGAACCGGTCCTGGTGCCTGATGACGACTCCAAACGGCGCACCATGAACTACCACCGCATCCGCGGTGCCAAGATCAAGTTCGCCGTCTTCCCCAAGGTCACCCGCTACAAGCCCGAGAATAAGGGCAAGGGCGGGCCCGATCCCCGCGATGACCCCACCGCGTACAGAAGCATGGGTATGCCTGGGGAGCATGAAGTTCCTGATATAGAGGGCCAGAGCATCATCGAAATCTCGAAATGCAAGGTCGTTTACTACCAGGGCTTGATATACCCGCGCGAGGACTATGTCGAGGCGATGACGCTGGATGAGCATCTATACAGCATTTTCAGTCCGCCAAACGGCCTAATTGGGCTGATTGATATGCTCGTCTCCCCTGTTCTCTACGCCCTTAGGAGGCTTATCTGGCATATATTGGTAATCGGCGCGGTCTTCGGCCTGATCTATTCAACGGTCGTGGGCAGGGAGTTTATCTGGTATCTCGGCCGCTACTGGGCGGTTCCTATCGTATGGTTGGCTATGATGATCTTCTTCATCTCGCGCAGCTACCTTGACAGCGGCGACGAGCTATGGGCCTGGGGTATTGCCGTCATACCGTTCTTAACTATATACGCTATTGGCTTCTACTACACGTACACCGGGATCGAGCCCCCGCCGCGTAATCCGAGGGACACTTGGATCGCCTATTTCTGGGTCCATGACTTCGTCGTAGACCGCTTCAAAGAGCTCTTGGTAGCCGCGAGTGGGCCTAGCGCGATTCCCGAAGGGATTTGAGCCTGGATGACGAGTAGATTGCGAGCAGATGAGCGAGCATGAGATGGAGATGTGAGCGTTGTTGGGGTGTGGGTTGGTGTTTAGCTGTTTCGTGTCTTCATTCATCGATGGTGTGATGGTGTTTTTAAGCCCTTACGTGTATTAGTTTGTCGGAATAAGGGGTGGTCAATTAACTGGTAAGCAATCAATCCCGATTCGGGAATAAAATAGAATAAATGAATGCCAATACTTTAGACTACGTTGGACAGATTTCATCCTCGGTACTGGCTAGAAGAGAACATACACATTGCTAACCTAACTGCCGACGCGGGTTGGGGAATCTGGACATATCCGTATAGAGTATCCCCAATTCGGGTGGGCCATCGTTGCTATCTCCGCATGAATAGCATGATCATCGCGGAGAACCAAGCGGCAGACACGCCGAGGATAAAAAGACGGTTGGCCCTATAAGTCGGGATGCTCGTCTGACTTTAGACGTTGTGAATAGCCCTATTACTCGTAGCGTATTCTTGACAAGTTGTGAGAAAGATGGCCACCAACGGACTACCCAAGTACGCAGATCCTATATACCAGACGGCTCACGATGAAGCATTCTCAAAGCCTCTCTTTGAAACTATTCAGATTGTTCTGCCGCCAGATGTGAGCCAGGAGGATTTCTCTCTAGCTATAGAGAAACTTGAAGGAGCGTTAGGAAAAGACGCCGTCTTTACTGGTCAAGATTTGAAAGAATACGTTGACCCCTATGAGATCCCGGAGTCAAGTCAAGAAAGGAATGTGCCGAGTGCCGCTGTTTGGTAAGGAAGTCTCTTACAAGGAGTCGTTTGACCATATCACGCGTCGTTAACTCTTCGAACTAGTCCGTCTTCAGTACCAGACCTTCAAGCTGTGCTGAAGGTGGTCAACGAGTACAAAATCCCAGTGTGGACCTTTTCTCGGGGAAAGAATTTTGGGTATAGCCTAATAACGTATGCTATGCTGACGACCAAAACTGACTTGGCAATAGATATGGCGGGCCGGCACCACGTGTTTCTGGGTCCATCGCTCTGGATCTACATCGAATGAATAAAGTCTTAGAAGTGAACGACAAATTCAGCTACGCCGTGGTCGAACCAGGGGTCACCTTCGGAGACTTGTATGAGTACTGCGCGAAGAACAAACTCAAGGCCTGGCCAAGCACGGCTTCGCTCGGATGGGGGAGTGTCATTGGTAATGTGGGTTTCTTCCTGCGCAATAGTGAAAGGCAATTTTGTTTGACGCTCGTAGACTCTCGATAGGGGCTTGGGATTCGTCCCGACGGGCGTGCATCACGAAAACATAGCCGGCATGGAAGTTGTTCTCGCGAACGGCGACGTCGTCCGCACGGGTCAATTCGCCATGTCTAACTCAGCATCGTCGCATATAACAAAGCTGACATTTGGACCTACGATCGACGGGCTCTTCCTGCAAAGCAATCTCGGAATAGTGACCAAAATGGGTGTCCACTTGACGCCACAACCGCAGGCTTATATAGCGTGCTCTTTCGACGTACCCGAATTTGAGCACATCGAGACCATCGTCGATGTCTTTGGAGAAATGCGACGCAACGGCACCTTGCCATACATGGTCTACGTCTTCTACATCGCGGAATGGGCTACCATGTTTGCCAAACATTCGGAATGGTGGCAAGGTGAGGGACCTATCCCCGATTGGCGGCTGAAAGAGATGCAGAAGGACCTGGATGCCGGGATATGGACTGTGAAATTCGGACTTTACGGCCCCACGCACATCGTCAAAGCCCAGATTGAGGAAGTTCAGAGAGTTGTTGCCAAGGACGCCCCCGCTGGTCGTCTCCGTCATAAACTGTTTACGGGAGAAGACGGCGGCCTTCTCGAGGCGACATCCGTCGACCCTATGTATGGTGGCGTCCGGGTAGGAATACCCTCCATGTGGAATATTCCTATGGTGAACTACTACAATAGCCGAGAAGGCTCGGTCGGAGCACACGGGGCGTACTCACCCATCGTACCCCTGGACGGCAAGACCGTGCTCGAATGGGCCAAGACGGCCAAAGCAATCAGCGCAGAGCAAGGATTCGATTTCTTGTGCGACTTCTTCATGCACGAGCGGTACGCCATCTTTGTCACTATGCTGGTCTTCGACAAGACCAACGCGGAGCAGCGAGTCGGCGTGGACAAAATCTTCCATAGGCTCTTCGAAGAAGGTAGCAAGCGAGGTTTTGCCAAGTACCGAGCACACCTGAATCACATGGGTAAGTTTTCATTCAGGCTGAGAGTTAAGTAGAATAAGCTGATATTTGACAGATATAAACGCGGAACTATTCGACTTTAATAACCATGCGTACCGCCGTTTCATCGAGACTTTGAAGGTGAGTATATCTTGTCCGTTCAAGCTAGAATTCAGAACAGACTGTTTAACTTGTCTACAGGAGTGCCTGGATCCCAACGGCATTCTGTCGCCTGGAAAGATGGGAATCTGGCCGCAGAGGTTAAAGTACCTAAGACAGGTGGAATAGATAAATAGCCAATCTGTTCTAGATTTATGTGTTACGGAGGTGTACCATAACTACCTAGCTACATGTAAATTCGAACACGTCTAGAGTACTTCTATGATAGTCTGTGCCTAATCCCGCTTACTTGCAATCTGTCATAGAACCTACCTAGGCACCCAGGGACCTACCTGGTATAGAAACGATGTGGTATACTAGGATACGTAATATTAGTTTGCTCTAGATGTGAATCTGCATGTTACAAGTCTTGCGGAGCAAGGTGTTAGGCGTTGTAGCCTGTAAGTTGTATGGAAGGTATAGATGTAATTATTATAGGCACGAAGTCATGTTTGATAATCTAACATTTAAGATAATTATGATACAAAAGAACTACGCTTCTATCAAGATGAGAAAGATAGACTCATTGTGTCTATTCGTATACGTCTGCAGTTGTCACCACAGACTACAAAGATATTGAGGAGGACTCTTGTTTTGGCGTAGCAGAGTAAAGGGTACTAAATAGAGGCTCTCCATAGACTCGTTGATGGCTAATATCTGTGAAGGCATATCAAAGCATGAACTGCTTCAACAACATTGCAGTCTAGCTCTTCCCACGAATGGTTAGCAACAGGATCTAGACTATCTCCTCTGGTAGCCTCTAACACAAAGCGAGGGGAAAATCGTGAAGAGTTCTTAGAGATATGTTGTGTAGCCCTGTTCCTCTCAGTAGCTTAGATACGTACCAGGTAGGTAATCATGTCGTCCCACATTTTGCAACGGTTGCTGTGAGAACCACACCTGCAAAGCATAACACCTTGGTGACTACCAGGTAGGTAACCGAACAAACCGATTTCACGGTCAGTCAAGCATATATAACTGATTAGCGGCGATGTTTAACATCTAAGCAACTCCGTCTTCTCAAGGGCCACCTGGCGCAATGGTACCGCATCACTTTCCGATCAACGGATCATGGTGAAGATTACGGGTTCGAATCCCGTGGTGGTCGATATTTTTATATTTTTACCTTTTTCACCTTCTTTAATTAAATCCTTTCTTCCTCTTTGCACTTTCAATGTTCACATTGAATAACCTCTGATGGCATACGCTATGAAGTCTGGCTCCAAAGGAATGATTCTAACGGCTATATACCTACCTTAGGTAGCCTACCGAGCAGGTCCAAATGGAGCCCTGGTACCACGCTGATAAGCTCTAAGAGTGACGGCCGCACCATCCGAATCAAAGATCCCTCTGCTATCTATCATAAGGGCAAGCACTATATCTGCTAGCACGGCATTGTCTACGAGTTATATCTACATGGCTGCTTGCTTGCTTGATCAAAGCCTGATTGGTCGAGGGTACCACATTGCTCGCAGGGTCTTCTACTTCGAGCGGCAGGGCCTCGAGTATCTGGCATTACCTAGTATTCGATCTACCAAGATAATAGCCTAGCTTTTCCCACTAACGAGGGCATCAACGACCCGTCCGCGTTAACAGTGCCGAAGAAGTTTCATAGCGGCAATCCTCGGATAAACACCCAGAACAGCCGGAGCTGTTACTGGGTTGATATGTGGGTTGTCTGTGACGCTCATGACTGCTTTACCGTCTCCTCGGAAGATAACGGTGACTCCTACCGCTAGCGACACAAGGAAGCTGGTTATTGTCATGCCGGGTTCGAACAAGAAGGCACTGTTCAAGGCCTCAGATGTTTGTAGTATGTGTGACAGCTAGTAACTTCTTATTGTTGAGACCATTGGGACGACAGCGATACTTCCGCTCGTGAACCTCAGCTGGTCTCTCTAGAAAGTAGGCTTTGCTTGCCGATACCGAGTTCAACTCCTTCGTCCCTCGAACAAGGTAACTTTCAGTGCCAGTGGGTCCGCTTGGACTAAGAGCATAAGCTACGGGGAGATATGCAAACGGACTCGGTAGCCTGTCATTGTTTGTCAAATCTATGGAACATTGCTGAATTCCTTTCTTCTTCTCTTGAATATGCTTACTCGAATATTCACCGTTAGTTTTGACCCGTCGGGGCACCTGCACTCTTCCACCTGTTTAGGCATGTGTTAAATATGTTGTTGAGGTCGTTGGGTGTTGATAGCAGAAAAGGGGTTGCTGTTGATAATGATATGTCATTTATCTCTAACGATGTTACAATTATCTGGTGAGCCTCGCTACATGAATGTGTGCTCAGCCAGACGCGTCAACGCGCTCCAAGTGCTACGACAGCTCGGACCATGATTTCAACCACTACAATCATCCAACAACAATAAAATGGCCAAGCACAAGAAACCAAATTACTACGCTGTACGCGTCGGCAGGAAGCCTGGCATATATAGAACCTGGGAGGAATGTGAGAAACAAGTTTCTAAGTTCTCAGGTGCCGTCTTCAAGGGCTTCGACACATATAACGCAGCCCTAGAATTCACTAGCGGTGCTACTGTCTCTAACGAAAGCGACGGACAGAATGAAGTCGAGGTCGTGGTGCTCGACAGTAGTCCTCCACCATCGGGGGATTCGACGGGCGCGACCACAATCAAGATCGAGGATGCCGCAGCATTGATGCCACCGCCATCGTCTCAATCTTACTTTGACCAATTCCCCAACTTTGTGCCTGATAATGGCGCATCTTTCGATGATGAATTTAGTCGTTTCGCATCTTCTCAGGGCATGGTCTCAGGATCACAGGAATACCGGATAGAACGCACCAAAGCGATTCGGGACGAGTTGAAATATCACTACTCCTCCCAGCCAGGTGACGCTGCAGTAGCCTTACAGAGAATTCCTGAGCTCGGTAAAAAGATTCCAGACGAGAAGGAAAAACTCAACGTTTACCAGAATATGTGTCGAGAGATCGGGATCGACCCGCAGGACTCGGTCACCGAGTGCAGGAGAGAGCTTAAGAAGGTCTTGGTCAACATCATCGACTACATCGATGCCCGGCGGACGAACAAGAAGATCGAAATCTGGGTTGGTCCGACTTCCATGCATTCAGCCAGTATTCCCTTCAGGACGACAAGCGGATCGACAAAAATGAAGCAAAGGCAGATGGGAGCTTCCTGTCGGCTCTATTGCAGCAGTTGACGAGACCTGGCCCAAGGAGGAGAAAAAGGGCACCATTAACAGAGATAAAACACCAACCCGTGAAGCGAGAGCGAACGGATGAAGGGGACTTTTACCCTTTCAAGCGTGCTCGCATGTCATCTCCGTAATCTACTGGGCTTCAACTGCGGAGCAACTCCCGATTTTGAATCGAACATCCTTAAATCCACCCACACGGTGCATTCGAAGGAAGATTGCAGTTGGCCGTCCTTGATATCTACTGGGCCAAAAAATTTCTTTGCGCTGTCAATCTAGCATTGCGAACTCTTATACGGGGGGTACAGGCTATGGCACTGTCTCCTTGATATTCTCACCCTGGCAAGGGTCTCACTATGAAAGTATCGCATAACTCGAGTCTAAGCTGCAAGTCAGCATTGAAATGAATGAGGTTCCTGTATTTTCTAATCTAATACCTTGATGAGGAATGTAGCTAAATAATAATTGGTATTTCATCCGCTCATACCTCTAGTTAGTACGTGTATAGAGACCCCTGAAATGAATTCTACTCGTGGTTGACTTCCAGTCGGTATAGGTGATATGTATCTACACTGACTAGGAGCTGTGATAGACCTGTGAACTTCCGGGTTGTGAGAGCTGTCAAGCACATGGTTGACCTAACCAATTCATTAACCATTTTACTATGCTTTTATACCAGCCTATTAATATTCCACCAGTCCAATCTATTCCGACCTTTCCCTTGCAGATAGAAATCAAAAACTCCGACCACCATTTACAACCAACGAACCAAAGAACTACCTACACATTACAACTCATCATGTCACATCACATTACACTACACAACTCATCCATCCCATTAAACCTTACGCCTCAAACTCTTGCTTCGTTCAAGCAACCCTAAGTCCCACCATCCCTCAATCACACCCCAGAGAGTTTTCCGTTTCGGTTTCTGTTTAGCCTCCATATTTCGAGGACTGGTCGGGCTTAATGGCGTGGAGTCATCGTCCTCGATTTGGACCCTCTTGCTCTTCGAGCGGACGAATTTTCTCCCCGCCGGAATCCCGAGCGCATCCCGGGGCAGTGGAGGCGCTCTGCTAAGCCGGAGACCTTTTAGCGTAGGCGACGCGGGGGTTGGCGTGACTGGCGTGAAGCCGTCGTCGCTGGGCGTCGGGGGAATTACGACCGTGGGAGGGGGAGACCCAGCTCTTGCCCTGGCGTGGACGGGGCCGAGAGACGGATTGTGGATGATGGGGATGTAGTCTTCGTTAGGCGAAGGCGAATCGGACGGATCGAAAGACCTGACTGCCGCTGGAGGCGGAGCAGGCTTATTGCTTGTTAGAGATCGACCTATGATAGTCGGGCCTGCGTTGGCATTAACGATGACCGGTGGCGGCGGCACTGGTCGGATATCTTCGTCGATGGACCGAAGAATAGGGGGGCGACGCGTGGGCTCGGGCGCCTTGGGAAGGGGCGGGGGGACCCATTGGCCTGGTCCCGGGGTCTTCGCGGCGAGGAGTTGAGTGCCGAGTGCGGCTGGTCCGGAAATCTGCTGCACTGAACCGAAACCCCGGCTACTTTTATCCACCATAGTGGCCCCCTCGAAATCCCCACGCGTGCCCGCGCGCCCCTAACCCTCGATGTCCTTGGGAGGAGCCGCGGCGAAGGCCTTGATGCGGCGCCAGAGGCCGACGCAGACGACGGCGGAAAAGGCGAACAGCACACACAGCGCGATGCTGAGACCCCATACCGCCTTGACCTCATAGCAGTGCGGCTGGTCGGTCGTGATCAGGGCCAGGTAGTTGTTGTACCTGGCGGCTGCAGAGGCGTAGTCACGAGCCGAGATAGACATAGTGAATGTCTGAGTCGGGTCACTGGGCTGCGGAAGCAGTTGGCACCTCAGCATGGACAGGGGCTTGCCGATGGTGACGGCGACTACGATGGCGGCGACGAGGAGAGCGAGGTCGATCCCGCCTGCGATGACAAGGGGGAGTAGACCATCGTAATACAGGATATAAGAAATCGAGACATAGAGCGTGGCTATGCTTGCCTGTGAAGAGGTCAGCTACTTAGTTGTCGGTGTATCATATATATGCGCATACCACAGCAAGAGTGCCGACAAGCACATCCGGCGCGTCACGCTCAGAAGTCACGATTTCATTGATGAAATTGGCCACGAGACCGATGATAGCGACGAGCGAAACAAATTGCATAGCTCGGAAGGCCGTGAAGGTCACGCCCAAGGCGCCAAGTTGGGGGGCTTGAAACCGCATCTTTAACGGGATGCTCCTTTCGAAGTCGGTGATGAGCGAGAGCTTCGGACGGGGCCTGTCGAGATTCAAGATGGTGCGTATGGGAAGACGCCGGCGCGGATGGGGGATAGACGCTAGGGGGCTCGAGGAAAGAATTTTGAACGAGTGGCGGCTTGAGACCGATAAAACAGGTTGTGTGGTTTCTGAATTCGAAAGACTGAAGTCTAGATCTGAAGCAGATCTACTGCAACGAAAAAGACCGACTGATGGATGTCAAGATCGTGACTAGAAGATTCGTTTCGTATGACCTAGAAGAGACGTCGAAATCTAAAGACTGTACGTTATATTCGTGATAACAGAAACCCTTAGAAAAGAGAGACGGAAAAGAGATAAGAAAATAGGAAAAAAGAGAAAGACTCTAGGAAAAGATAGTGATTGCAGTGAGAGATCGCTTGGTTCGTGAGGTCGAGAAACAGAACTATTCATTCCGGGAGATGTCTACACCTTAAGTATTCAGTAGCGTATCGAGCATCTGTATAAGCTAAGCTGTCTAGATCTATTCATCTCGATCGTCTACAGGTTGACTTAGCTTCTCGCGCTTACATGTCTAGGCTCAAGCCTCGAACAGCCGTGTTTTGGCATCTATTCCTCGTATCTCGAATCCACATTGCTATTTTCGAAAACATGATGCCGGCACTCG